TAAAGTATGCAATTTTGAAATTTTACACTTCAATTTAGTTAAATTTTAGAGATTTCGCGCTCAACTACCCGCAATTACCCCCGAATGTCACATAGTGACCATAAAACAGACAGGAAAACATAAAGTAGTACTATGTGCATTTATTTACAGTGTTCAGATAATTTAACTGATCAATGGCAGGTTAAAGAAATTCTAAGGGGAGCGTATTGCTTAGATCTTATTATGTCTTAAAACTGACCAGCCTAAATTCTAATCTAATTTTACTACCAGCGATTTAGCTATCTTTAATCTCAGCTAAAACAGAATTGTAAGCGTTAATATGGAAGCAGGCCAAGCGTGCCTGCGTGGAGATTATTGCTAGGACGAAATTAATTTGTGTTTATTTCACACTGTCGTTGTTACAGACCATCATGTACGTAACACTATAAACTGCTCTACGATGTTCGATACAGATTATAAACATAAAATGTATCTGCATATCCTACTAGTTGAGCTGGCGAACCAAAAAGGAATTGCGGTTCAAATTAGGACATATCGTGACATATAAAAGTAGTGGAATCAGGCCGAACTTAGAGGTTCAAAAAAGCAGAATCGCTCTGTCGTCTTCTGAAATCCCCAGGAACCTAAGTTAAGTTGACGGAGGGATAATATATTTAATATTTAACCATTTAGAAGTAATGAAGGGTAAAAGTTGAAAGTATTGAAGATACAAATTTAAGTTATATTTTGCTTACGATTTTTTTTCATTTTATATGACAAGTTGAAGGCCGACAATATATTCGTACATTGATCAGCCCTATTTATATGCTTTGATATGATTTTGTTATGTCCGCAAACCGTAACGTTTTTAAGCGGAAGCTATTTATGAACAACGGTAATATAGAAAATGAATTTCGATGGCAACGAGTTCATCTGCGTCAATGCATGCCACGTTGGACACGTCCAGGCGCTTCAATTAGAAAACGAAAAAGCTCACTCTGTGTTCAGGAGTCCTGCTTTTTACAATGGCCGGTGACGACGCTTCCAATGCCCTTCACTTTTCACTTGAGCCGGTCGCGATGCCGGTTCGAAAATAGAAAGGAGAGGTTATCAAAAATCGATTCCGACCGATACGTTCATCCAAGCAGTCGCATCCAATTGTGGCTTGGATGAATTTATTGACTATTTGTTGATATAAGAATAGAGCCCTCTTCAATGCATTGCGTGGGAGGCAGCAAGCGTGATGTGTGTGCATGTATTAATATTCAAAATCTAGTCAGCCACATGGTCAGATACTGGCTCTCTTTTCTGTTTTCCAAGAGACTGCGTTGCCTGTTTGTTCAGTTAGCTAAACGAGAAGCCTATGAGACCCGTCAGTCCCTTATATATTACCTCGTTCGACGGCCAAATGCCTTGATGGCCATGTGAAGCATACAACGTCATCTATTTTCTACGCATCTACCCTTTTTCCTTTTGCCTCTCTCCAGCTGTACATCCCTGACTTCGGGACAAGGCGTGATGCGTTACCATTGTGCACACTTCGTTGCTGGCACTTAACGAGCGCACAAAGTGTTAGCAAGGAAATGGTGTTTCTTATAGAAGGAAACTGACCTGAATAGCGAGGAAGCATATAAACGTATAAGTATAGCGTCGTTAAAAAATTAGGTCCACTAGATATCAAATTCAATTCATAGTCATTTGTATATTTTTGGTGCGCTTATATCATGGATGAATGGTGGATTCCCTGAATAAAAGACAGTGAATGATATTTAGGAAAAGAGTTCTCTAGAAAGGTGTCATGATTGATTTGCCAGTCCAAAACTTGCAGAACATAAAGAGTAACGAAATAGCGTGATAAGTGACTATCGTCGTAAAGTAACCCAAATATTACCCTTCCCGTATTCTACACCAAATAAAGTTGAGGAGCCTTTATGCGCCTCTTACTAGGTCTAACACATTTTTCAGGTCCCGCCGTGGCCAACACATATTTTCTATTTTTTGGTGTTCCATTGTGAAACCGTTTATATTAATGCAGAGAATTCGACGAGCGTACGCGGCAGTATTGAGAAACTAGACGTTGCCAGCTCGAACCGTACGGTGTACAGGCCGAAGAAGCCGGAATTAACGCTAGTATAGGTTGTTTTCTCATTCATGGGATTCAGTTCGAGGCGTCCCAAAATGGAAATCCATGGCGCTCGAACGTTGATTCGGAAAGGAGCCGCTGTGGGCTCACGGCATAAAATAGACATGCCCTAACGAGTGAAGCTTGTGTTCTAGAGATAGCACCCGATTCATGTGATTAACTCAAGCGATATTTTTTACGTACAATACTATGGACATGACAGGACAGTAGAAGCGTGCAAAAGCATAAGAGTGAGAGAGAATTATTACACAACGTGTACAATCAGGGGCAGGTCCGATGCAAGTTCCCAATCTTTAGGTTCCGTCTGTTGTGCCAGATGGTCGTCACCGTCGCCGGCGTATACTGCAATACCTGTTCGTGTATTTATTTGTAGAATAAATAAGGGTATTCAAAATGAGAAACAAGCTTAGATGAGTTAGGAACGATCCTTCTTTTCGCACTGATGCTACCTATTTTCTACAAAGGACTCGTGTCGCTGTTTACGTGTGGCAAAACAGGGAAGTTTGGCTGTTTCCAAACCAGTCAGTTACTAACATGGACTAGTGATTCTTATCGTGGAATGGTGTGATTTATGTTCGGAGAATGATTCTTATACGATGTGGAATCTTGTAAGTTTGGCAGGGAAATGAGATTATCTTAACTAGCTAATCCAATACTTAAAGTAGAGTTGTTGGAGAGGGAAAACGTAAAAATTTGCCTTCGTCCAACGATTTCCATTGAGGGTTATCTAAGAAAATTTAATTTGGAAAGCCGCCTGAAAATTGCAGCGCAGCTTGTCCGCGGTCATGAAGCAAGAGACAAATGAGGGGTTCACTGGTGATCTGCAGATAATTAGGCCTGCCACTGTGGTGATTAGTTAAACACTGCAGTAAATTGTGTATTTCACTGAATTCACGATGCGTTTTGGCAGTGATATCGTGCAGATTTCCCTTGCAGTAGCTAACAGTTCAGCCGCTCACATACAAGACACTTTTCACGAGAGAAAAATTCCGTCCGACCCTAACAATTTACCAGGTTTTTCACTAGCTGGGTAGCTGCGGTGTAGCAATGTAAATATAATGGTTTAAGTTTGTGGTCGGCGGTACGTTCCGTAAGAGTGTATATTTCCTTTTCGCAGGAAAACTTACTAGATACATAGCAGATATAAAAGTCGAAAGCTTGACTGGTCCTACGTATTGCCTGATCGATGTCGCTTATTGAATAGACCAACTAGTGGGGTGAAGGGAGGAAAAGATATGTTCATGTCTATTATTGCCAGCTACTTAACGTTGAGGCGAAACAGTAGGACAAATCGAACACAAAGACAAGTAAATGGGACTGTCAGCGGCCCATGATGCCACAATAAATAAGGGAGGCCGCTTAACGGAAATCGTCTTTGCGAGAAATCGACCCACTCGATTCTGATCGGAGCTCGACTACCACTAATGTTCTTCTGCTCCGGGACTTACTTAAGCTAACCTATTTGATCAGCCAATAGCGACTTCCTTCCACTTGTCTGCGTCTTCACATATGAGAAATCTTCTAGTCCCCAAAAGTAGGGAACTGGATGTAAAAAAATGCCACCTCCACACCGCTGTACATTAGTTGGTAGCCACCAGGTAGTTGGAGTGTGGCCTGAGATATTGTTATATACATACCGTTAACATCCCTATATAATCATACCACATTTACATAAAATTCATGAAATTAGTTGAGCTTTCCACTGAAACTTTACCTGCAAGCGTACAAAGCAGATTGCTTTGGCTACTAAAGCCTTGGATGCAGTAGACAGTAATGACCCCTTGCACCCTTCGCGACGATGGTTGTAGAGCGACTGCAGCTGATCCGATTTGCTAATGTGAAAATCATGTATATAATAAGCAATATTGCATTTCGTATTTTATTTTGAAAAACTGAAATTTACTGCATAAGCACAATTGTTTTTTAACGCTGTACGAAAGATGCGCGCCTGTAAATCGTATCTGTTTAATTGAACTGTGAATCAGATAGCGTTATAGTTACTTAAGTGTAGGTACTTCGTATGCATCCGAGATGCCAAAATGCTACGCGATTTCCAATATCAGTCATTTTCTAAGAGTGGCCTGTTAGAGGCACACCGACACCTCTTTTCATGACAGAATGTGTCACCTGCGGACAAAGCAAACCTCACCGCCTCAATTGCTTCAAATACTTAAAGAAACAAATTTCAAATAAACAAAGTACTTCGTCTTTGTCATGGAAGATTCGTTGCTTACAATTATTATAGATTATATATATTAGTACAATTAGAATTTTTATAGTTTCTGCGAAGGTTCATATATAATTCCATTTTGACCCTATGATGAAACAATGGAGTAAAGTGTTCTAAGCCAGCGTGGCGAGCTAAGTAGCTTGTTGCAGCCAGATGCGGACCAATACGAAACTCTGACATAATCATTTACCAGCAAATTTAGAATTTTAAACTGATCTAGTACTACCCAATATTTTTGTTATTACACATTCGAACTAACTTATTAATTATGTTTGGTTATTGTCGTTATTTTCAGTCTATCAACAGGAATTTCGCTTCTGAAGAATGCACTTTGAATAATAATTTTGAGCCGTCGGGCCACAGAGTGATAAGGCAGCGACGAACGTGAAGTTGATGGTAATGATGGCGTCCTTGATGGTTTTGATAAAGGTGTAAAAGTAAGTCGTATCTAATCGAGCTTGGATGAGGCGGACAACGCAGCCGACTCACGTCTCACCGAACCCTTTCACACCGGTAAAGAAAAGATCAGCGATGAACTAACACCCTTTCCTCTTTAGCGAACGCACGTAAATGCTGCATAGGGTGCCTTTGAAGGGCAACAGCCCCTCACGTTGGTGTTTCTCGCTCGTTCTACCCGTCTAGCTAGCTAGCCAGCCTATCCCTATCTTCTGCGGTTGCGGTCGATGCCAGAAAAGACGAGGCAAAAAGGACTGTTGTAGCTGTAATAGTAGCAGCAAGCATAACAGAAGTGAGCCTTTGAAGATGTGGCGAGGTGAACAGTGTACAACAAGCGACAGTAACATCCTTCACAAAGACCGGTTGAGAAAGGGCCTTCAGTATAAGGAGGCAGAAGCAGGACGAAGATGGCAATGGTGGAAGAGGGGTTAGCGAAAGAAAAACGAAGGGCTCCTTGCCGATGCTTCCGACCAACGGCCTGGCTACACCGTTCTCCGTTGTTTGCTGTAGCTGCTGTCGTATCCGTTGCCGCAGCAAGGAATCTGTCCTGTCAGACAGTTACCGGTCAGAAGCTCCCTCCCCTGTCCTCGTGTCATGGTGTCGTGCCGGCAGTTCTCGTACTCTGGACAGCTCTATTCGAGCCTCTAGCGGCAACTCTACGAGCAGCGGCGGTGAAGAACGAACCTTTAGTTACTTAGGGACGCGTAAACGCACCCCCACCTTCAATGGCAGTGCTCAGCCTCTGGTGTCAGTATCATACACACATACGGTTGAAAGCAGAAGCAGCAAGCCCGCCCAGTAGTTTGCTTGAGAGGCGTTTCTTTTTCCTTCCTCTAATGATTCTTCTGTACCTATTCGGCCGCTATATCTGACATTTTCCTTTGTGTATATGCCCACGAACGTCAGTCACCGGTTCTATGGCATGGGCTGACACGTAGCCTAAGACCGTAGAAACTGACGTTTCTGACCATTATGGCTCCAGAAGTGTATTTTTCTCTAAAAGCCCACGTATCACTATGGCCTGACCATGCGTATCTAAAAGGATTTTACCCTTCGCTTACGGTTAGCAGCGCTACGACTCGGAAGACGAAGGATTCACGAAGGAGACGATGCCGGAACTTTTGGTAAGCAAGTGTAGAGGTACGAATCGTGACAAGAGTTCACAATGATAATAGACTTCAAAAATTTACTTGGCTGTTTACTGCGCCGTAGTCGAAAAGGTTCGTTTGGTGTCCTTGTTGCAGCTGCTGTTGCTATTGGTTTTTGCATGAAGTCGATGAAGACGGTTCGGGTGCAAAGGGCGAAGTTCCGTAACACGAAAATGTAAATGACAAACAGATAAACAGGATTTATCCATAACAGGTAAATCAAGCATATAGGTGCCAAAAAACACGTTTTGTAAAGCTATCCCTACCAGCGAATATGACTGGCACGCCAAGTTGTTTACTTGGTATCGACGATTATCAAATTAATTGTCATCTGTTTGACATGCACTCATACGGGTCGATGATCGCACCATTCCGTGCAAGATGCTATTTAATGTCAAAATCGACTCACTGCGGTATGCTCCTGCAGTCGCGAATAAAAAAAGTCTTGTGGAATATTTATATTATGACTACGTGCGTTTTGGATTTCACCGACTTTTGTGGTAGAGATGGGTATCCAACGCCCTCCTTGAGTCGCTTCTTCAGATTCACCTAATCAGCATCTGAGGATATCGCCCTATGGCGTAGAGAAAATATACGTCCAGTCACGGATTTATCTAAACATCAGCTCTTACGTAATGCAGTTTATATGATGAGTCCAGTCGTTGGTAGTGTGTCATTGAGCGCATATAAGGGTGTACAGTCGGTCATCTTCGTTGCGACCGATCGCTATTAACAGCGATTAATTGAATTACTAAAGCATCATTAATTTTACTAGAATGAAAATACTTTTCTATGTCTTAATCGCTCTTCCGATGCCGCGAATTGTAGAAACAAATTGTGAAACACTGACGCTAGAGACGAAATTCAAAGCTTTGGGGGGATAGGCTCGATTTAATGGTTGATCGACCTAAATTTCATTGAGCAGCTCCCAAATACTTGAATCATTCTCGATGCCATTGAAGAGCTACGAGCACCTGGTTTACTGAGGAGCCCGACATCTCGTTACATCGTCAGACATTTCTTATATACTCAAAGACCGAAGCCGGATAGTGTTTCCAGTCCTATGAAAACCTGTAGCGGGCCATCAAAAGCGCTGCACAATCTATGTTAATAAGGAAAGTTAATCACTGTTCAAAAAAAAAAGTTAAGAAAACCAGTCTTTGATCCTATGCTAAGGCTGTAATTAAAAAATGTGCGCTTAATTAATTAGAAGTCAGCTGATGTTATTTCGGGAAACGATTTGTTAAGTAAGTAAACCGATGCCATTACCAGATTGAAATGAGCTTTCGCAGCCTAAGTGCATCGATATATTATGGATATATCTATGCGTTTATAGACCACGTATGTATGCTAAACTAAAGATTAAGACGTAATGCTATACGTACGTTTCGATCTTGGTTATGCAGAAGCTGATTCACTTTAACAGCTGAAGAAATTATGCAATCATCTCTGTATGTCAATGCAAGAATCTCGATATCGCACATGTAATTCTTATTCTATTATATTATTTAAGAGGTACCCATCTGACCTACCTCCTTCACTACAAAGATCAGCCACGGTTGGTTTCGGCCACTAAACCTCCTTCAACGGCATTTCCTGTTGGCCCTGATTAAGCCATCTTTATCGGCTCAAATTCTACACTATCGATCGTAATGAGACATAAAGCCGTTTGTTTTTCACGTTTTGGCGTATGTTAGACTCGTGGGCTGTTAAACGAAACGTTAGTCAGTATTGTTATGGTTGACAAACTGGCAATGCTACTCGTCCACCAGATGGCGCTTAACCGATAAATTATACACCCGTGTTTCAATGATACGCTATCTGTCAGAAGACTTTTTAGGTATTTTTATGCACGAACATATCACTCATGTTAATAGCGTATATTTCAAATAGTACTAGTTTGATGTTACTGCAAATTATGTTTGTTGTTGTGGCGTCATAATTAGTTTACCAGACATCATGACCATGAGTAGCCGTGCGTTGCGCGCGTACAAAGAAGATTCAGTGATCCAATTCAGTAAATACCAGTTTTATTGTACGTTTCAAGTGTAGGAACTTCATGTATAAAACATCTAACAAGCAGTTAGAGAGAAACAAATTCGCGCAATTGTTGCTCTAACTGGACCCTAGGCTTTCTAGGTTCTACGTGAAGAATAAGTTCTTTTCCTTCATGCTGTAAGCGCATCGCTCAGACCAACCGTTAGCCCCTTAAAACTTGCTAAAAAGTGAAATGAAGATGGATAACGCAACGTATTTTTCGGACATATCACTTTTAATGTGACAGGCATAGAGCTCTGTGACAGAGGATTGCCCTCGAGTTGTTTTCATGCCATCATAAAGTACGCAACACTGACGAAAGGGAGCGCTACGTTCTCTGACGAGCCGCAACGATGAAACGGCACCATTCGTACCCTAAGTCCGTGTGACTGCCTACCAAATCGTAAGCTTTCAATTGAAGTTTGTATAGTGTTTTCTTCCTTATAGCCCTCAACAGCTTATCCCTTGCGGACCCAGGGAGCCACGTCAGACGGCTGCTAACATAGGACGGGTCAGGAGCCACTAAATTTACTGCACTCATATCTAACTCCCATTGTGATTGTTTCAATTGTCACCCGTAACTTAGTTAGGCTTTCAGCGTGTTTTTGTAATTGCCATTAATAACGTATACCTCAGGGATACAAAGTTACTCAACGATCAGCACTGCATCGCTGCAGCTTGACCTGGTTAAGTTACCGGCTTATTATTGTAAAGCGTTCATGAAACCGATTATCTGTCAGCTTATTTTCTGCAGTATCTAGTACTGGCTACCGTGACCCATTCATTCCGATACCGTACGCATATAAATTGCTTGAAGACTATTTAAGGCCTATTGTGTCAATGCTGCGTGCATTGGTTTCGGAAACATAGACAAAAGCCTGTAGTGAACAAACATTCGCATTTCTAATCAGACCATCATAGTACAAACATTAAAGAATGGGAAATCAATTAAGATTCTGAGAGTAATGATCTCCATGGATGACACTTTGGATATCATAAAACGAGCTACATGCTAGGTGCAGCTCGGTCTTGCTGGTAAGCCTATATTGAAAATGCAATACATCGATAAACTCACTATACCTACTTACTCAGTAAGCTTAAGTATAGGCAGGCTAGAGAAAAGCCAGTTGTCTGCGGTTGTCAGCCGGAATTTATCTGTTTAATGTAGGCAATTTGAAATTGCAATATTGGAGCTGTTTACTCGGAGTAAGCAAGAGGCGTGTGTCCTACGAGCCTGCAAAATAAAAGTCTCACAAGTGATCAAACTAACTAATGCAAAGACTACAACAGTACTTTACTAAAGATTATAATAGTATAGATTGATTACACGCGGCTTTTACCATCAACGGTACGGGCGCGTTTCCAATGCAGTAACTATGCTACGGCGTTTGCGCATAAAGAACGGCAATTCGGGCAATATACTGATGCATTTCGAATTTGATGGAAATTGCCTAAAACATGGAAAAACTCACCAAACACTTAATAGGAATCGAATCGAGCTATTCATAGAACAGGTAGACCTCCCTCTTCGTCCATTTACGTTTCCTGGGTAGCCGTTCATTGTAGGCATCCACGCACCCTATGCCATAAGCCATAGAAGAGACGTTTTAGCTGATTTTGAATAATATTTGAGTTGATGTAGTCGTATTCCGAAATGCCGTAGATCTTTGCTACCAAAAAGTCCGTTTTAGTTAGTGCGTTTTGGAAATATCTTCGAGTAACTCTATTTCTGTATGCGTTTCTGCTTTTGAACGTTTTTTTTTAGGTTAGGGATAGGTGCATGATCGATCCTAAAGCCATAATATACCCTGAGCGGCAACGTTGTGGTTGGTTTGCGCAACATATGTCGGGAATGCGTGTTGCGTGTGTCAACTGAAACCCACAAATTAAACTATTAAAGGGGTACTGAAGGTTAATAATGGGACAAGCATGTGGATAAGGTGTCTTAAGCCTAAGCATTTTGAGGCTTAGCTGATAGACGGCGATATAGATATATATAGAGAGAGAGATAAAGAGTACTGCTATATCCTGAAAATGTTTTGTGGTTATGCCATTCATTAACGTATTGATTGCTATCATAAAAGCTGCGTATCCGAATTTGATTTAACGTACGTGAATAATAGCTCTTATCAAAACAAAGATAGGCCATAAGAAATACACGCGTATCGGAAGCGTTCAGTCGACATAATTGTGCCACTGGGTTCGGAAAATATCCGAAAGCATCCGAACGGGTCAAACTCAAAACATCAAGAGTTTGAAGCTTTTTATCCACTGCTTGCTAAGTACCTTTTCAACTAGATAGATTATTTGAAAGAAAACTTCATTTGCTTCCTAATGTTGCAAGTCCGCATTTTAGTGCGCATTCACTATCTGACATTGCCTGATAGTGAATGCATTAAAATATCCAGTTTCGTTTGATCATCCCCCCTTGATCCCTCCATAATCGCTCGTGTCCAATATTCCAGCATCAGGGCACTCTCCGAATTAATTTTGCGATATACGCGCTCCGCCTTGTCTGGGTGTACGGTTACGACCGTGAATCAAAAGTGGCGCCGTGTTTAGAAGACGGGGTGGATAAGTATCAGTGTGAATGGACTAAAGTCAGAAAGTGGAAAGGCGCAACTGACCATAGCTTAGTTGTGCGTAGCGTCTCCGGCGCAATTCCGTTGACTTTCCTAGACTTCTGTTACTCACGCATCCCGGCGCCCATTTCGCATCTACTGGCTTTATAAAGTCTGCAGCTGAATGCGGTCTTCTAGCACCGCTGGGACTGATGGCTAGCAGGTCGTGTGCGTGGCAAACGGTAACGCGTAGAGAATAAATTTACCGGTCGATACCGCGCCCCGGTGTTTCCGGCGGGCTCTCATGCTTGAGTGCTTTACTCTAACAACGAATTCCAGACAGACGAAAAGCATAGATGTTCGTCCTGCTGTCAGTTA